TCATTTGCTTAAGAATATTGTTTATTTTCACCAGTTGGTTTTAAACGGAATCTATCACTAGTGGAAGTATTTTTATTTTTTCCAGGGGTCTTAAGCAAATGGAAGTAGATGATCAAGCTGCTTAGTAGCTTATAGCCAGGACCATGTGGTGAACATCCAAGCGGAGAGAACCCAGGATGAACAAATCCCCAGTTTGATAGCGGGCGCGCAACCCAGTTTAGAGAGGATAGCTGGAGTCGCACCCCTCTATTAGATGGCTCACGCCTGGTGGGCAAGCAGAGATCAGGTGCCATCCGGTCCAACTGCTAAATTTAGGGACATACTGTGGATGGACGAAATCCTGCACCACCTAGGAAAGCCTGGATTGATGATTCCCGTGTAAATACCCAGCAAACAATTAATCGTTTCTCGTGGTTTCTAGCTGCTGAAAAATGGATTTCGTCCATCCACAGCAGGGACGCGTGGAATGTCCCACAAAAAACAATAGGGACTCTCCAAGTTGGCCATATGTATTACCCGTGGGTGTGTCTCCCCTCACACGAAACCTCCCGTTGGTCTCTGTCGGTCGCCTCTGCAACCACCACTAACAAGAGGTAGTTACCAACTGCAAACAAAGGCATGCCCATACTATATGGGTGTGTGTGTGTGTGTTCCAAAGATGCCCGTTTTGGGGGGGTTGAAGGCATGCTGGTCTCCAAAAGCGCCGGGGGGTGGGGGGAACCCACAAATCGGAGTTGTCCAGGAACATTTGGCTCACCCTTGTTTGACCTTGGCGCAAAAGGAGGGGCCATGATTTCTTTGTACGCTGCAGCCCAAAGCAAGCGGTTCAACCGAGGGATACATCAAGCAAGAAAGGAAACCGTTGACAACTTCTCTACGGATTGCCTCATTGAGCGCCTCAGTCAATCACTCGGTCAAGCGGCTGGCAGCGTTCCGTTGATCCTCCCCCCCCGCCCACCCCCCGGGCCCCCCCCGGGCGGGGCCTTGGTTTCCCTGCCTCAGGCTGCAGCTAAGCTTTGCAGGCGCATGGAACAAGCTGGCATTGCGGCAGCTTGGCAGGAAAAAATGATGTGGGCGGCTATGGTTGCAGTGGCCCCGGGCTTAGGCTCTGGCTTTAGGTGGACTACCTGTTTGGGGCTTGTGTTAAAGGGACACCTGAGGAAAGCCCCCATTATGTTGTGGGATTACTCGGATTAACCATGAAACAAACGTGTGTGTGTGTGTGTGGAATGTTTGATTAGCAAAGGCCGACAATTCTTGCAAGCCCTCTTGGCGAAGCAGAGCGGCGCCCTCAAAAAAGGGTTCCGCTACAAAATTCGGGATGAAAGACACAAAGCTGCCAAAAGGACCCCTATAACTCTTTGTGGGCCAGGCAATCAGGACTTCGTCTTTGTCCTGATTCGGAGCTTTTCTACCCGAACATGTTCTCACAACCTGGGGGGCCTGGGGCTTCTCCTCCCTCGTGGGCTCGGCAGCCCTGATCGTTCGCTTACACGATAGGATCCCACGTTGCGGATGCTCGTTCTGGGAAATCATGAATTGGAAAAGGTCGGTTGACATGCAAAAGATCTGCATCGTATCCAGAGAGACCACGTGCGGAGTGCATGTTCGACATGTGAACACAGGCTGGGATTTTGGTCCAATAGGCGGGTTGTACCCAACTAATGAAAGGGCGCCAAACCCACGTTCAGCCCCTTTTTCAGGTTGAGTCTTTTTAGGAGGCGTTTGTCAAAAGAAACACAGGCTGGAACACAAGAGGCTTTGTTGGACCATAGCCGGCATGTATCTTCAGAGTGGGTCACGCCTCATTCGGCACAGCCAGAAAAAAAAGGGTCCGGCTGCCAGCTTTGCCCTCGCGTGGATTCAGGCTCCCACGGTGACTGAGCTGGTGGCCACTTTGAAGTGGGTCGAAAAGGTGGACAGCTGCTGAAGGTATTTGGAAAAATCGACTTGGCAGGCAGTCCAAAGCACTCGGGCTTTGGGACAAACCTGACCTGAGTGCTTGACTCGTCCTCACATTTGTCACATGCACGTGTCAAGTGCAGTTCACCAACCGGACTTGTAGTTCGCTCGACCGGCGTGAGCATGTTGAAGGATCCCAAGTCACAAACTCCTCTTATAGTGTTTCATTCATTCTCGTGCTCGTTTGTGACCGTTCCCTGCCGTTTTTTTCCGGACAGAGGTGCCTCGGTCTCTTTCTGCGCAGCACAGTCTGTGGCTGGCCTGATGAGCCTTAGGTGATCGAGGCGCCTATACGCGAGCTCCCCGCCGCGCCGCGCCAACGCGCCCAACGTTGTGACGGTGAAAGTCACACGCTGCGATGTCGCCTGCGGCCTCAAAAACCCGTTGAGACTTGGAAAACCGCGTGGATCTGGATGGCCGCAATTCCCTTTGCATGATTAAGCCAACTTGGGAATTGTGCCATTGTTCACGCCGCAGGATGGTCTACCCAGTTTTGTATATCAGCCAGGCCAGAACCAGGCCTACATCTTAACCAAGGTCAATGGGGCTTGGGAGCCGCTCCTTTTTTGCCGATCTTTGTCTCGTGTCAGGGAGAGCGTCGGTAAGCTTGGCTGCTATAGGTGGCGACACTCCCTGGCAAAGCACATTGCCTAGAGAGACAAAGACCAAGAATTCAGCTTACAGAGCGCAAAGCCACGAGTCAATGCAACAGTTGAGGTTTCTGGCTGACAATCCTTCACTCCGCCCCGTACTGACGACAATCATGTCGTATGTGCAGTTGGTTCACATGTGCCACAATGTTCGATCCAGAAACCGAACGTATTGCATTCGACTGTACCTGACTGCAGACTGCAGTTGCGAGCTTTGCGTGTTTTGTCTGTGGTCCAGGTCAGTCTGCAAACAGTTTGACAACCTGGACCATGCATGATTGCATAACAGCGAATTAGAGCAACATGGCAAAGGGCCTTGAAGCCGTTTATGGCTGTCCTCTGTCCGGCTGACTGGCCGGGGAAGAGACCACTACCAGATCGCCAAACAGTCGCACTCGCGTCATGGCGTGTAATGCCGTGCTTCCTGCAAATATGTATATATATATGTTATTATATATATATATACACATTTTTTTACAGCATATTCCCATGCAGGTGGGGTTGCCTCAAATAAGTCGTACTTGGCGGCAAGGAGACCACGTGGGCTGCTCTGTTGTGAGTGATTTGGATCTGATACTTCCCGTTGGATGGATCCGATGGCTTGTGCCAAACCCGACGCCCTGTGCACGTGGTGTGGATAGACCCGGCCTGAAGAGATCGACCGATTGCCTTCAGCCGTCCACGCTGCACCCGTGACCACCCGCTCCAAGGGTGGGGACTTTCGCCTTGAAGCGCAGTACTTTTGTCACGACTGGGCCGGGAAAACGTGACACCGCTACTCCTTTGCAGATTGACATGAACCCCCCCCTCCCAAAACAAAAGCTGAAAGAAGCTTGCGTTTTAGGGGCATCAGGACCCTCTGAAAGGGTCCATGTCAGTGGACTAAGCTTGCTCCGGTCAAGGTGGCTGGTCTCAAATAAGAAAAACACCTTCCAGTGCTACCTTCCATTTCCATTCTGAAAGCCCAATCCGGATCAAAAAGAAAACCTCCGGCCTTGGGAAACAGATCCGGTTTGGTTTTAAGAGCGCGATGGCCGGAAAGAATGGAATTAGGCATGGCCTGTTGGTTGGTTTTTTTCCAGTTTTTCAACCATTTTTGCTTATTATGTGGTTTAGTTCATGGAAATCCCACCACTCAACTGCTAAAATGAATAATTGTGTTTTGCTCCCCTTCGAAGGTCAACCAAGAAATCAACCCTCGAAAGGCCATCCGGCTCCTTACCTTCTTTCAGGTTTGGAAATGGTTGCATGTGCAGATGGAAACGGACCCAAACAAAAAATGGTCGATTCCTTTGTAAACGGACCCATGGAAGCCTGTAGAGTCCTCCTCCCGTGGCTCCCGTGGCTCCCGTGGCTCCCGTGGCTCCCGTGGGTCCCGCAACGCGGGGTGAGTTCTGTTAATGGATGTGCAGGGCTGCGTTTTAGTTCAGCTGCATTCTCCCCCCCTTTCCCCCCCCCGCGAATTACATGATCTGTTCGAAGACAAGATACGGTCTGGGTTTTGGAGGGAGCCATTTTGGGAGCCTCCTCAAGCTGCTGCTGAGCTTGGTTCTCGACCCAGCCCCAGAGAATCCATCGTCGCCTCTCGCCGGGCTGCAAGGACAGCTCCTACTTTGGATAGATATGGGTGTGGCTCAAAATTAAAGACCTAGGGTTACGCAGGTTTTAGTCTTTGTTTCCATTTATCAAGGTGCCATTTTGGTACATTTATTTCAGCGACAGCCATATGCTACAGTGTTACAGGCCAGTGCATCCATGTCAGAAAATGGTCAGAACCCACGCTCACGTACGCCCCGTGCATGCCCGTTTCTTCTATTTGCAGTGACAAGAACACACACACCGGACTGACTGCCTCTCATGTTTCACTGATCGTGCGCGATGGCCGATGGCTCAGGCGCCTTGGGATCGCCTAAAACGAGCCCCAAGTCACCTGAAGTCACCTTAAGACTGGGCCATTGGACAGTTGGGAGGGGTTTTGCAGGATGTGGGGAGGGTCCCTTGAATGTGATATCACTTCAGTGAGCCCAGCACGTTCCGTGACACTCGTCCTTTGGCTTTGACGTTCGTCGAAGGTGTAAGGCGCGACTCGATCGGTTTCCATACCATGCAAATGGAAGGTCCAAAGTAATATTGTCCCTTTGACGACATTTTGACAGCTTCCATGTTGGGACGCGGTGTACTTGCTGTACTTCACAATGTCCATAGTTGCTGGCCGCAGGCATTTGTTGGCGCAGGGATCCTAACCTCTCCCGCTCCCAACTGGTTTTAGAATCCTGCTTCTTTGAGGGCGGTTTGATAAGGCCTCACATGCGTGGTCAAACCACCCGTTTGCTTAAGGTTTGTATGGGTGCTGGACCCCTGTACAGGGAAGTTAGACAACCGTAGGGGGTTCAAGTGGCGGGAGTGGAGGGTCTGTGACTCCCTTCATCGCGCCTCCAGCTACACGGCCGCGTTCGTGAAGCCAGTTGGCATCGCAATCAGCACACAGGAGGAGAAGCACAGGTGGAGGAGATGGCTCTCAGCACCCATCACACTCGGGATCGTCCTGATCTTCAGCTACCACGTCAACTAGAAGGCCAACTCCTGGATTCCATGCCGCAGCGGAGATGTTCCTTTCCGGTGGCCTCTGCATGGTCGCAGTCTCGGTCTTGCCAAGTCGCACGGCCAGGACGCGGAGCAGGACGCTCCAGCACGACTGAGGGTTCCCCTACTAAGATAGACTACAGGAAAAAGTTGCTACCTTTATTCTAACCGCTCTACTGGAGGACCCAGACAATCATGGGCCTTCAAGGCAAGTCGCACTATGGCGCGACCATTGAACCCTTGTCACAGCAGCTCGGTCCCTTTCTGCTCCCTGGGGCATCGTGGCCAATCTCATGAATTGCTGCCAAGCGCACCGACGCAGTGCGTTGTGCCCTTAATGCGGCGCTGCTTGCGTCCAAAGGCCAAAACCAAGGGTACCATTTTGGGTTAGGCGCAACACCCATCAGTCTATTTTTAGTGGGGATTGGGATGTTGACTGTACGGGATTTTGACCCATGGCCAATTGAGTCCCACTTGCTTAGTCGATGTGAGGTTCGTCCGGCTCAGAATTCGGACGTTTTTGGCCGCGTACGGCTATCTCCCAAACGCAGCCCTTCTGCCTGTAACCCCATTGCTTTCCTGTTTGTTTTTACTTGCGCCGGCTGACAAGTTTCTGAAAAGGGGGGGGCGGTCGCTACCCGCATGGACATGGGATGTTAGGTAAAGGGAGGCGAACTCGGTATTCAATGCGCTCGTGCCGTTTTTTTTGCACCCGAAGGCTCGGAAAGTGTTGGGGGCTCCTTTCCTTTGCCCGAGCTGTTGGCCATTTGCCCCGATGACAATTTCCGGAGCCGGGGCCTGTGGCAGAGGGTTTTGGTGCCCCTTTGCCATGACCAGGGTTTGCTGCGTGCGGGTTATTCACAAAGTGTTGAACCGCGCGTTCTCCGAACAGAAACACCAAAAGTTCGACTGTAGGAGTTATGTAAGGGCCATGACATTGGGGCGATCGCTTGCAGCGCAGCCAGTTTTCTTGCTCAGACGGTGTTCGAGTCCTTTAGGAGCTTGCTTTTCGTCAGATATGACGACGAGCCCCACGAAGCCTGGCGCTTGAGTTACGTCGAACCTTTAGATGGAGGGAGTTACGCCGTCCACCAAAATCTGACCCTTCTTCACGGACCCACCATGGTGAGAGTTCGTAGTTGCCTTTTTAGGCCATGCGTTGTCAAGGTTTGAACCACCTGTCTTTGGCATATTGAATTAAGTGGGGACCACCTCGAAAGTGGTTGGTCATGTCCAAAGGGGAAGATTCACACCCAACTGCACGCGCGGGAAAAACAGAACTTTGTATTTCTGGCGGCTCAGGAAGATGAAGTCCCACGGCAAGACTCACAAGCCGTCGATGCTCGAGTTTATGGGCTTGGCGGGGAACTTCAGCCACCTGAACCTCAAAGACCCCTTCCACGTGAAGAAGAGAGGCTCCACTTATCAGACTGAGGCGGGTTCGCCGATTCACCATGGGAGAAGACGTACTTTAAACAATGATTTGTTTGGCCAACCTTTCGATTGTTCCGAAGTTGGGCGGTCTGACGCGCCTGGCCAAGGTACGAGCCGGCGTTACCACCTTTTTGGCCATGGCCTACATTCTTCCAGTGAACAGTGGCATGCTGAGCTTGGTGATCCCCAACATGCGCCAGCAGCTGGTTTGTGCCACGGCGTTGGCATCCTTCCTTGGCTGCTGCTTGGTTGCACCGTTCTGCGATTGTTGTTCATATTGTTGGAGTCCTTCGAACCGACCCAGGTTGGTTCATGGGCATTCTGTCCAACTACCCATTCATGCTTGCGCCGGGAATGGGCACCAACGCTTTCTTCACCTTCAGCGTGTGCATGGGCATGGGCCTGTCGTACGAAGAAGCCTTCGCAGCTGTCTTCTGCGCCGGCTTGATTTTCATGGCGCTCAGTATCACAGGCGAGGTTGCTTGGATGCTTGACTCCCTGGCCAACTCCCTGAACCCCGGACAAAAACTTTGAGCGAGCGCTTCTGTGAAGACTGGCCCGCAACCTGGGTTAACCTTGAACAGGATAAACCACCACCCCCACCCACCCCATTTTAAGTCGAGCTTGGGTGATCCCCAAGTTCCCCCCCCCCCGCATTTTAAGGCGAACTTGGATCCCCAAGATGTTTTTTTTTTTCTCCAAAGCCATAAAGCCGAAGCGCTTCACACCCTTCAGGCCTTCGAACCTTGATGATTCGGCTCTTCCCGGAAGGGATCAAGGAGCCGAATAAATTTTGCCACTGTGTGAAACATCGCCTCTGACTCAAAGCGAGTTTCCTTTCAGGTGGTGTTTCAAGGGGCGAAAGGGGACCTCGGCCAAACCAATGTCGGTTGAAAAGCCATTTTGCGGTTTCCCTTTTCGAAGCGGAGGGTCTGGTTGTTTACAACAACGTTTAACCTTTTGTTTCCCCAGCGAAGGGGACGGTATGTTTTAAACAAATTTCGTCCAACCCCGTTTTTCCCCAAGTAGTGTTATTGACACTAAGGGCTCTTACAATAAGAGTCAGGGCTGGGATAGATCGAGTGCTCACGCTCAAAGAGTTGGCAGTGCGCGAAACAAGTTCGATGCGACAACCTCGCAATGCGGCAATGCGCCTCATTGCGAAACAGCGCTCTCGCTTTGGCGCCGTGGCGAAGTTTCCGCATGACATTGCGTTTTTGGTGGCAGGGGCCAGGAACATTGCCGTGTTTACGTTGTGTTGCTCATCAGGTCGGGGAGGTGTCAGAGTTTGCTTAACGTGTTTCTATGCTTCTGGGCCCGGCGTCAAGTTGAACCCTAATGTGGAGTCTCTTGCCGAGACACTGTACTTTCTTCAAAGATGATGTGTTCAGAAGGGCCAGAATGAAGGCCCGCATCCGAGCACTCCGCTGTTGGGAATCCGAACGCATCAGCGCCCGAAACTCTTTTCCCGTCGTTAAGGACGACGCAACCTGCATAACCATCTACAGCTGACCTGCGCACTTGAATATTTGCTTGAGGCAGTTGGGCCATGACCTGAGGTTGGGGCTTAATCATAAGCCTGCAACAAGCCATGTCAGATGACTCCCTGCCCCCGCCCACATCTATCAGATGCTGAAATGGAAATATGGGATCCTCCAAGTGGTGACTAGAACCAACTATCTATCAGATGCTGAAAGGTTGGAAGAGGATCCTCCAAGTGGTGACTAGATGGTGACTCATAGAACCAAACTCAGCTCCTGGTCTCATCATCCAAGTGGTGACTAGAACCAAAATCAGCTGGCTTGATCCTCCAAGTGGTGACTAGAACCAAACTCAGCTGGCCTGATCGTGACTAGAACCAAAATCAGCTCCATGTTGGAAAATGGATCCTCCAAGTGGTGACTAGATGGTGACTAATAGAACCAAAATCAGCTCCTCGCCCACGGAGAGTACTTGGCCATTGGGTTGGATCTTTTTAACTTTTTGGGAAACAACGGTGTTTTCCGTAAAGGGGGTGACCGTTTTCCGTACTAAACCCCCAAAAAGTGAACAACTTTTTGCAGGGGTCGTTGCCGCAACCAAGATGCCTGGAGAGTACTTGGTTCCTCACTCATGGAACCACACTCAGCTCATCATCCAAGTGGTGACTAGAACCAAAATCAGTTGGCCTGGTGACTAGAACCAAACTCAGCTGGCCTGATCGTGACTAGAACCAAAATCAGCTCCATGTTGGAAAATGGATCCTCCAAGTGGTGACTAGAACCAAGAATCAACTCAATCAACTCCTGAACCAAACTCAGCTGGTCTCATCCAAGTGGTGACTAGAACTCCTGGGCTGCCTGGAGAGCCATGGCCAGGAGAGCATCGGCGCTGGGGTGGGCCTCTTCCTTTGCTTCATCGCCTTCCAGAGTTCCGAGGGCATGGGCATCAGCGTGGCGGATAAGGCCACGCTGGTCACGCTGAACCTGGGGCGGAAGAAGAAAACAAATGGGGGTCCATGCCAACGGTTTCGTTGAATCAGTTTGGGCAAACATTTCACGGTTTCGGACTCAGTCTGGACCATTTGGGGCAAGCATTTCACGGTTTCGGACTCGGTTTGGACCATTTGGGGCAAACATTTGAGGGTTTCAGACTCAGTTTGGATCATTTGGGTCCATGGCAACGGATTCGTTGAATCAGGTTGAGCCAGGGTTGTGGAATCAAGGTTGTTACTTCTGTGATATATCAGGGAATCTCCCCCTTCATATGGTGTGTTATTCTTTGGGGCTGGCCCTTTTTGTTGTATCACAGGAGTCGTGGATTGATTACATTTCCCAGCAGCCTGGTTTTTTTGAAGCAAAAATTCGCCCAAGGAACTCCCTGGGCTCCTCCAACTACGACTCCGCCAAGCTGTGGCTCAGCCTGGCGGTGCTGATTTTGACCGCCACGCTCTTCGCCGCCAAAGTGCCGGGGGCGCCGCTGGTGGGCATCATCTTTGGCACCGTGGTGACCTGGATCGAGGGCTGGTCCCGTGGGGTGGAAGGCGAGGGATGGCGGGTCTTCTGTACGAAGGAAAGGATCTGAGGGATCGAGTTACTCTCTGACTAGGGTTTTTCTGGATCAATCCGAAGTGAACATCGAAAACAATTAAGTTGGCCTCCGGATCAATCCGAAGTTCACATCAGAAACAATTAAGTGGGCCTCCGGATCAATCCGAAGTTCACATCAGAAACAATTAAGTTGGCCTCCGGATCAATCCGAAGTTCACATCAGAAACAATTAAGTTGGCCTCCGGATCAATCCGAAGTTCACATCAGAAACAATTCAGTTGGCCTCCGGATCAATCCGAAGTTCACATCAGAAACAATTAAGTTGGCCTCCGGATCAATCCGAAGTTCACATCAGAAACAATTAAGTTGGCCTCCGGATCAATCCGAAGTTCACATCAGAAACAATGAAGTTGGCCTCCGGATCAATCCGAAGTTCACATCAGAAACAATTAAGTTGGCCTCCGGATCAATCCGAAGTTCACATCAGAAACAATTAAGTTGGCCTCCGGATCAATCCGAAGTTCACATCAGAAACAATTAAGTTGGCCTCCGGATCAATCCGAAGTTCACATCAGAAACAATTAAGTTGGCCTCCGGATCAATCCGAAGTTCACATCAGAAATAAATTAAGTTGGCCTCCGGATCAATCCGAAGTTCACATCAGAAATAATTAAGTTGTCCTCCGGATCAATCCGAAGTTCACATCAGAAATAATTAAGTTGGCCTCCGGATCAATCCGAAGTTCACATCAGAAATAATTAAGTTGGCCTCCGGATCAATCCGAAGTTCACATCAGAAATAATTAGGTTGGCCTCCGGATCAATCCGAAGTTCACATCAGAAATAATTAAGTTGGCCTCCGGATCAATCCGAAGTTCACATCAGAAACAATTAAGTGGGCCTCCGGATCAATCCGAAGTTCACATCATTAATAATTAAGTTGGCCTCCGGTTCAATCCGAAGTTCACATCAGAAATAATTAAGTTGGCCTCCGGTTCAATCCGAAGTTCACATCAGAAATAATTAAGTTGGCCTCCGGATCAATCCGAAGTTCACATCAGAAATAATTAAGTTGGCCTCCGGATCAATCCGAAGTTCACATCAGAAATAATTAAGTTGGCCTCCGGATCAATCCGAAGTTCACATCAGAAATAATTAAGTTGGCCTCCGGTTCAATCCGAAGTTCACATCAGAAATAATTAAGTTGGCCTCCGGATCAATCCGAAGTTCACATCAGAAATAATTAAGTTGGCCTCCGGATCAATCCGAAGTTCACATCAGAAACAATAAGTTGGCCTCCGGATCAATCCGAAGTTCACATCAGAAACAATTAAGTTGGCCTCCGGATCAATCCGAAGTTCACATCAGAAATAATTAAGTTGGCCTCCGGATCAATCCGAAGTTCACATCAGAAACAAGTTGGCCGTTCACATCAGTTGGCCTCCGGATCAATCCGAAGTTCACATCAGAAACAATTAAGTTGGCCTCCGGATCAATCCGAAGTTCACATCAGAAATAATTAAGTTGGCCTCCGGATCAATCCGAAGTTCACATCAGAAATAATTAGTTGGCCTCCGGATCAATCCGAAGTTCACATCAGAAATAATTAAGTTGGCCTCCGGATCAATCCGAAGTTCACATCAGAAACAATTAAGTTGGCCTCCGGATCAATCCGAAGTTCACATCAGAAATAATTAAGTTGGCCTCCGGATCAATCCGAAGTTCACATCAGAAATAATTAAGTTGGCCTCCGGATCAATCCGAAGTTCACATCAGAAACAATTAAGTTGGCCTCCGGATCAATCCGAAGTTCACATCAGAAACAATTAAGTTGGCCTCCGGATCAATCCGAAGTTCACATCAGAAATAATTAAGTTGGCCTCCGGATCAATCCGAAGTTCACATCAGAAATAATTAAGTTGGCCTCCGGATCAATCCGAAGTTCACATCAGAAATAATTAAGTTGGCCTCCGGATCAATCCGAAGTTCACATCAGAAACAATTAAGTTGGCCTCCGGATCAATCCGAAGTTCACATCAGAAACAATTAAGTTGGCCTCCGGATCAATCCGAAGTTCACATCAGAAACAATTAAGTTGGCCTCCGGATCAATCCGAAGTTCACATCAGAAATAATTCAGTTGGCCTCCGGATCAATCCGAAGTTCACATCAGAAATAATTAAGTTGGCCTCCGGATCAATCCGAAGTTCACATCAGAAATAATTAAGTTGGCCTCCGGATCAATCCGAAGTTCACATCAGAAACAATTAAGTTGGCCTCCGGATCAATCCGAAGTTCACATCAGAAACAATTAAGTTGGCCTCCGGATCAATCCGAAGTTCACATCAGAAACAATGAAGTTGGCCTCCGGATCAATCCGAAGTTCACATCAGAAACAATTAAGTTGGCCTCCGGATCAATCCGAAGTTCAAATACAAAATAAATTATTGGCCTCCGATCAATCGAAGTTCCCATCAGAATAAAATAAGTTGGCCTCCGGATCAATCCGAAGTTCACATCAGAAACAATGAAGTTGGCCTCCGGATCAATCCGAAGTTCACATCAGAAACAATGAAGTTGGCCTCCGGATCAATCCGAAGTTCACATCAGAAACAATTAAGTTGGCCTCCGGATCAATCCGAAGTTCACATCAGAAATAATTAGTTGGCCTCCGGATCAATCCGAAGTTCACATCAGAAACAATCAAGTTGGCCTCCGGATCAATCCGAAGTTCACATCAGAAACAATTAAGTTGGCCTCCGGATCAATCCGAATTTCACATCCCTGACAATCCAATGTATGCATATATCGCCTACATTGGCCGACGCCCGCGTTTTTCAACTACATTGACCGATAAACCCGAATGTAGCCAATTTTTGGGGACATTCAATCCGACAACTTCCGACAAGAGTTCCGACAAGCCTTCCGACAACAAGCTCGCCTCAATTTCGGCGACTCTATCCGACGACGCCCTCCAACCAGCCTTTTCCAATGCCTTTCCGACCGCTAACTTAACTCACAATGCAGGAAAATACAAAGGCACGCCGCAAATTGCTGCACGGACAAAACTTAAACTGCGAATGACTGGCAACAACTACAGGGCCCAAACAGGGCACATAATGATTCGAGCCAACCCCGGCTATCATTGTCGGTAAATGTTGGTTGCCTGGCATGCAACAGAAGGAATCGACTAGCATAGTGTAGCAGATCCTGCTGAGGACTTCCGATTGTAACGTTAACCATTTTGACGGGCTGGCTGGCTTGACGAAACAGTGTGGCGACGAAGCACATGTGCGATAGTTCAAGCTTTTCAGGCCACACCG